ATCTATCCAATTTGAATCTGCTTCCGCTGTTTCCCTGCTGAGTCTGTATGTTTGCTACTCGCTCACTGAAATAGCATTCCCGCAGATTTGTGTTGAATTTAACCCCACAACCTCCTTCAATCGCAGGCCATGTCCTCTGGTTCTATTGATGACGCACTTTGGTGGAGTCCCTTGGTGATGGCTGATCCTTTTTATACAGTCGTTACCTGACCAATCATGATCGAGAAGATGAAGACTCCAATGAAGTAGTTGATAAGTTGAAAGAGAAGTTCAAACACTGTTTTGGGGTCTGGTAATCCTCCGATTGTAATCAGGGTCTTCACAGCCCAGTAATAGCACCGAATGTAGCTGTGGGAGAGAAAAAACCACAAACCTCTGCCGTTGTCCTGGCCAACATCCCCCCAAATAAAATTGGTCGCTTAATCCATGACTGTTTGTGGGACGCTGCTGTGTGCAAACTGGCTGCCACGTTTCGCCCACAAAATGCAGTCAATCCATTTTACAGTAAATTCCGTGAAGCGCTTTGAGGCGTCTCAACAAAGAAATAAGGCGTATGTCAAATGCAAGGATTATTATAAAGTACTCGAAAGCAGAGAATGAAAGCTCACAAATCACATCCACTTAAACATTTTAAAAGTAAAATAAACCAATGAACTTAAAACAATGCAGACAATGAATTTCGGTGGGGGGTGGTGACGCGTGCAGAAAAAAATGCACACTTAGGGGTACGCTTGCCACCAACACAGGGAAAGTTCCCTGAGTCTGGAATGGAATACACCCTCTCTCCCTGGAAGGACACAACTTGCTTACTTAACTTTGGAGAGTATTAGGCAATAGGTTTCCAAGAGCCAAGGCTTGGGATCCCCAGAATCTGAATTGGGGATAAATACTGATAAACCTTGCATTTGATATAGTGCCTTATCACGTCGTTGAGACATCTCAAAGTACTTCACAGAATATATTGTAAAGTGGGTTGACTGTGTATAAAGCCAGAATTTAACCAGCTAAAAACTCTCTTCCCCAAAAGGCTGTGGATGCTGGATCAATTACAAATTTCAAGACTGAGATGGATAGATGGATGTCAGGTCCGGGTATCAAGGGATATGGGGCAAAGGCGGGTAAATGGAGTTGAGGTACAGATCAGCCATGATCTTATAGAATGGCGGAACAGAATCAAAGGGCTGAGTGGACTACTCCTGTTCCTATGTTCCTAAAAATGTAGTTTGCCATTGAAAGCACTGTGACAAGCTTCGTGCTGTGTGTCTAAGGAGGACCACCCCAGCTGTTAGGACTGTTAGGCTAGAGACAAGGGGAAGATCAGTATTCCTATGAAACTATTTTATGTTATGAAACAATCAGATTTAAACATTGGTGCTGCAAAGTATTCCCAGGACTCAACATAACCGGATTCTTACAGAGCTACATGAACTTTCTATATTATTCTGTCAGATGTCTTGCAGCCAGCCAGACACATATACTGGAGTTAGTAAAGTTTACATTAACGAGGTTGGGAAATGAAGAAGATGTGATGTGACAAGCAGCCTGCAAGGGAAACATCAAGAAATCATTACCTGTTTCCCTCACCATCATAGACCCAATCGTTAGCTCCAATCCCCTCATAGTCAGACGCCCAATAGTACAAACAAGCATTTATATGGAGGCTGTAGAGTAAGTACGCTGTGGTTCTTATTACCCTATAAAACACAAGGCGTGTGTTAAAATTCAACCTTAAAACAAATACTTTTCAAATAAATACTGAGAGATTTATTGAATTATTCTGGCCAATGAAGATCAGAACGCAAAGCTGCAAAAACCCATGACTTGTTTATACTGTTATGAAGTATTTGTAGAGTGGCTCGAGAGTGGCAAGCAAGGGGTCCACGTCTCAATTGTTCTCCCAGGAATTGCCCACAGCACCACTCACTAGTATTGATTATTTTATGTTTGATGTTGTTGGGGAATCCAAAACCAGAGGGATAAATATAAGCTAACAGTAGTATCTAATAGGGAGTTTAGTAGGAACTTCTTCACACAGAGAGCGATGAAAATGTTGAAGTTGTGGTTGGAAATAAATAGCTTCAATCTATTTAAGAGAAAACTTGATGCATATATAAAGGAGGAAGGGAATTGAGGGTTATGAATGAATCTTATGACATATAAACAGCAGCATGGGCCAACATATTACTCTATGTAACCGGGTCACCCAGCCTGCTCTTTCATAACACTGAAAGGAATGATCCATTATACATTTTAGTGGATCCCGAATCAACTGTCGAAGTGTGTGTACGTGTTTTTAACTGCAGTGATTCGAAGCAATGTGCTCATGAAACCATCCTCTCACCAATGAGGTCCAGTGGAATTTGCTCTCAGGTAATGCGGCACAATCCAGATTTATCCTCTGTTATTTGAAGCAACTCAATGCAAATGAGCAGTAAAAACTGGGCAACAACAGGAGTTGGATGTCTATGAGAGTTGGTATCTTAATATGCGGGTCTGTGTGTCCTGGGTCACGTGTGGTTACTGCTGTGTCCATAATAACTCAATAATGAAGTGCACTCGTGGTTTTATCATCAAATTGAAAGCTGATTTGAACCACAGTATAAACGCTTGCTTTGTGAAGCCGATTCAGTCTCCGCCTAGAAAGTGGACTGCTCAAGAGTATTTAAGTGACTGTTCCTACAGAGTGATATGCTGCCTGTGTAGGAGAGAGTCAGTCACCAGGATTTAGTAGGAAAATGAAGTCAAGATTCGCTGTTTTATAAATTCTTTGAATCTTGCAATTAATGTCACTCTGTGCCCCAAACGTCACAGTGACAAGGTATCAGTCTGTCTGGGTTTTCCTGTGCTTTGTGCACACTCCACCTTACTAAGCCAGTCCAGAACCGATGGGAAACACGCCATATAAACGTAATTTTGTTGTTGTTATTATTGCTACACTTTTTTTCCGTTTCAAGTATCTATCCAATTCCCTTTTGAAAGTTATTATTGTTTGCATCACTTAGATACACAGAGCACATCAGGGCTCAACAACATATCATTGAATCCAATGTTATGACTAACGTGGAATGAGATGAGTTTAATCAAAGCAAGATAACATTATGTTACAAAAACGCAAAATACTGCGGATGCTGGAAATCTGAAACAAAGACAGAAGTCGCTGGGAACACTCAGCGGGTCAGGCAGTATCTATGGAGAAAGGAAAGTGAGTTAACGTTTCAGGTCTGAAACGTTGACTCACTTTCCTCTCTAACATTAGGTTACATTGTATGATCCAGATAGTTACCTGTAGATATAAGCCTTGCTCATAATTGATTCAAGTCGGTCATTAAATTCAAGGAAGGTCAAGTACTGTTAAGAACATTAACCACATATTAGTTCAGTCACATGTCATTGTATATACTCAATATTAACTCAATAACACACTACGTTTCATTACTCTTCATTACTGTTCACTACATTTGCATTTCATCCATGAATATACAGTCAATTCACTTCACAGTATATTCTGTGAAGCGCTTTCAGACATCTCGACGATGTGATAAAGCGCTGTATCAAATGAAATGATTATTATTATTACTATAATTACCAAACCAGCTCAATTTAACATTACGCAACACCCAGTACTAATATATGTAAAATTCATGTGTTTGGTGAATCGTTGTGCTCAACAAGGTGACTTAAACCAGGGTTAACTGGCCGAATACTTTTCTGTTTTTAGTGTCAACCATTCCCAGGTCAGATTCAGCACAGACTGGATACAGAGTAAGGTTCCTTCTAGTCTGCACCAATACTATGCAAACGCCTTGCTCGTCGGCCTCCACAACTCTGCCCCTCCATAGGCTGCAGATAATCCAGAACTCTGCAGCCTGCGTCCTCTCCCGCACCAGGCTCCATAACCCTATCAATATGACGATTGAGCCTACTCTGAGAAGAACGCTCCCTCCTGTACCGGGCTGCCGCGTTCGCCCACAAATATACAGTCAATTCACTTTACAGTGTGTTTTGTGAAGCGCTTTGGGACGTCCTCCTGACGTGAA